TGTTTAGCTAGTTCTTCTGAGTAGCACATTAAAGCAATCTTGAATAGTGAGGAGACCTCCTTACTAGATTACCGTTTAATGTTCATTTCAAGTGAGTTTAAATCAAAGTAATGGAAGATTTGTCTTCCTTTTTTTCAAACATTTAATTTGTTATTTCTTGATCACATATCATCCTTTCTTTCAAGATCCTGCAGGATAATTTTTGTTAGAGTGCTGCAGCTTCACGCAAATTATCATCTGAAAGACCTTCTTAGAATTTGACAAATGAAATCTCTTTTCATTCCCGAGAGGAACTTGTTAAGCCAATGAAACTCAAAATTCTAATTCCTGTTCCTTTCCAGTGTACACCATTTTACTCATCTCGAATAAACATATAACCTCAAGCATCCTGCCAGCCAAATAGATTCTTTTTCAATTAGTGGCTCTATATACAGAATTTTATCATCATGAAATTTATAAACCAAGAAGGGAACAAATATTTACACTTGAAACTTCATGTCAACATTGCCCACTGTTTGAAGAGCTCTGAAAATGTAAATGTAGCTTCCCCGTACCCCACACCCCCTTTAAAAAAATGCCTTTGCAGTAGAAAAATAGGCCTCAGTCTCCTAGGAGGGGATGTGGAAGAGATACATTAAGTGTCCTTTCTTTGTGATTGGCATTTCTTTTTTTTCACATGAAGATCTGTTCTGAAACCTAATCTTTTCCTCCCTTTTCATGCTTTTGTAGTAGTATTTCTCTTTCTTTCTTTCTTTCTGTCTTTCTGTCTGTCTGTCTGTCTTGACAGGCAGAGTTAGACAGTGAGAGAGACAGACAAAGAGAAAGGTCTTCCTTCCTTTAGTTCACCCCCCAAATGGCCGTTATGGCCAGCGCACTGTGCTGATCTGAAGCGAGGAGCCAGGTGCTTCCTCCTCATCTCTCATGTGGGTGCAGGGCCCAAGCACTTGGGCCATCCTCCACTGCACTCCCAGGCCACCGCAGAGAGCTGGACTGGAAGAGGAGCAACCGGGACAGAACCGGCCCCCCAACCGGGACTAGAACCAGAGTGCCGGCGCCGCAGGCGGAGGATTAGCCTAGTGAGCCGTGGCACCGGCCATAGTAGTATTTCTAAGACATCTCCAAGTACTAAGGCAAAATTCTGAGGAGTTGCTTTGGTAGTTATTATACAGAATTGTTCCTCAATTTAAGCAAGCCTTTTACTCCAATATAAAATTAAACTAACCACAGAGGTTTCTGGGACCAAATAATGAAGAGCTGAGATTTGTGTTTCAGTGTGGGCAGTATAATGCTTGACAAAAGAAGACTTTTGAAGATGCTTACATATGTGATGATTTTCAGACCACAGCTGAAGTTTCAAATGTATTGAAATAATTGGGGCTAGTGTTGTGGTGCATTGGGGCTAAGCTGCTACCTGTGACGCCAGCATGCCATATTGGACTCCCTGTTGCTCTGCTTCTGGCCCAACTTCCTGCCAGTGTACCTGGGAAAGCAGCAGATGATGGTTCAAGTACTTGGGCACCTGCCACCCACATGGAACATGTGGATGAACTTCCTGGCTCCTGGCTTCAGTGTGGCCCAGTCCTGACTTTTGAGGCTATTTGGAGAGTGAAGCAGCAGATGCATGATCCCTCCCTCTCTCCTTCCCTCCCTCCTTCCTCCTTTCCTCCTTTCCTCCCTCCCTTCCTCCTTTCCTCCCTCCCTTCCTCCCTTCCTCCCTTCCTCCCTCCCTCCCTCCCTTCCTCCCTTCCTCCTTTCCTCCCTCCCTCCCTCCCTTCCTCCTTTCCTCCCTCCCTTCCTCCTTTCCTCCCTTCCTCCTTCCTTCCGTCCATCCGTCACTCTGCCTTTCAAATAAATAAAATAAATCTGAAACAAGAATAATTAAAAATGCATCGAAATAATTCAGAAAGGGGAGGGGCTTATTTTTCAAAAGTTTAGGGGAGGTGTGATTTTTTTTTTCCTAAGGCTTTATTACCATTGTGATGCTACACAAAGTGGCTCTGCCTAACTTCAGCTGTTGCAGGTGGTGATTACATTGTAGGTCACTTAGGTTATTAAAGTATGTTCAGTAGGCTAATCTTTCTACAGAGCTTCAAAAATAATTAAGATGAATGAACAGATAAGCCCTATGTGTAGAATGAATAATTTAGTCCTAAATATCCTGGAAGCTAGTGAGAAGAGAAAAAGATACTGGTTTATAAAATTCTTATGGTTTGTGGCACAGCAGGTTAAAGCCCTGGCCTTCAGTGCCAGCATCCCATCTGGGCACTGGTTTGAGTCCCAGCTGCTTCACTTCTAATCTAACTCCCTGCTAATGTGCCTGGTAAAGCAGTGGAGAATGGCCAAGTCCTTGTGGGAGACCAGAGGAAGCTCCTGGCTCCTGGCTTGGGATTGGCCCAGCTCCAACCATTGTGGCCAATTTTGGAGTGAATCAGCAGGTGGAGGACCTCTCTCTCTCTAACTTTCAAATAAATGTGTGTGTGTGTGTGTGTGTTTTAATTCTCATGGTCAGATAAAGAAACAGAATTTTTTCCTTTCTTTTTTTCTTTTTCATTCTGAGGGTGACTCATTTTGGATTCTGCTTTGCAGAGGATAGTAAGTTTTAGGTTAAGAATAGAGTCAGAGTTTACCCCCTAAAAATGGAAAAGGGAACAAAAAATAAAAAAAAGTGAGGAAATAACATTCTAGGTAGAGGGAATAATTAATATTGTTAAATATTCTAAATCTTCTATTGTTAAATATTCTAGCATTCTTGGTAGAGGGAATAACTAATATTGTTAAAGTTTCCTCCTATTCTTCCTGTAACATGAAGGGGAAATGACTGACTATAAAAATACTCCATGTCGGTTATATAAAAAGACACATTTCAAACAAATCAGAAATACATGTATTAAAATAAAGTCTCCCAGAATAATAGTAAGGCCCTGTCTAAGTGGGTGTTTCTCATTTCTCAGCCCACAGAAAAGGATGATACTAAACCACAGGTCACTGGAGGTTTTTCTTCTTCTTCTTTTTTTTTTTTTTAAGATTTATTTGTTTTTATATGAAAGGCAGAGTTACAGAGAAGGGGAGAGACAGAGGAGACATCTTCCCTTCTGCTGATTCACTCTCAAAATTGCCTCATTTGCTGGGGCTGGGCCAGGCCAAATCCAGGAACTCTGTACTCCATCTGGGTCTCCTAAGTGGGTGATAGGGGACCAAGCAGTTGGGCCATCTTCCACTGCTTTCCTAGGCACATTAACAGGAAGTGGAGCAGCCCAGATCCAAAGCAGCACACATGTGGGATGCCAGCAATGCAGGAGGCGGCTTAAGGGGCTATGATGATACTGAGTTTAATGAACATTAATCAGGCATAGCAGTTTTGCTGGTGATGATAATACTGTTGGTTCTCACAAGAAATCCAAAGATCAGTGAGGTTCACTTGTTCACCAATTTCATCAGATAGTTTGTTCTCATTTACTGAGTCCTATTGTAGGTAATATTGCAGAGTGATCATCCAGGGAGATACTAGTAGGTATATTCGTAACGTAGTTATATATGCAACCAGTGCTAATGTAGGCATAGGGCTTGGGAGCACAAAGAAGGAGAAATTTGTTTTCTACAGAAGGCTTTCCCAAAGGACGTAACTTTTAGGTTGAGATTTAGATTAAGAGTTTACTCAAAAATTGAGGAAGGAGAGGGGAAACAAAGTGAGGAAGGCATTCTAGGTCAAGGGAATAGCAAGCCCAGAGGATCAGAGAAGGGCTCCAGGGCACGTCCTTGGACAGTGGTAAGTAGTGTTTTGCCAGAGTGTGTGGCTCAGAGCAGCACAAAGGTGACGAACGATATAGCTATAAAGATGGCAGAGTTGTGTCCAGTAAAAGTATTTGAACTTTATTCTGAAGGGGGGAAAGATGAAAATTTAAATGCAAAATGTGTGCAAATGTGGGAAGCTGGTTATGGGGGAGTGAGATTGGGCACATGTTTTCAATCACTGGGTCTGCAGGCAGATCATAATCTCATTTTTCAAGGAGACTGTGTATCTCTTCATCATCTCTGTTAGTTTCTTAGTTTGCTGACACTGAGCAGTTTTTTTTCCCCCAGTATTTGCGGTGGTGCCCCAAAATGTATATCAGAGTTGGTCCAGTTGATCCCCACCACCCACCTTGGTTGCGGAATTCCTATGAGGTTTGCCTGAGCTACTTTTTTTTTTTTTTTTTTAAGATTTATTTACTTATTTGAAAGGCAGAGTTACAGAGAGAAAGGGAGAGATAGAAAGAAACTTCTTTCTGCTAGTTCACTTCCCCAAATGGCCGTAACTGCTGGAACTAGGCCAGTCCAAAGCCAGGAGCCAGGAGCTTCTTCCAGTCTCCCATGAGGGTGCAGGGGCCCAAGCACTTGAGTCGTCCCTCTGCTGATTTCCCAGGCACGTTAGCAGGGAGCTGGATCAAAAGAAGTAGAGCAGCCAGGACTCTCAACTGGTGCCCATATGGGCTGCAGGTGACAGCTTCACCTATTACTGCATAGCGCTGGCCCCTGAGCTATTCTTTGTAAAGTGAGTTGCTGACTCGTGGCCTGCACTTCACCTAGTCGTGCCCCTTTCATTGCCCTTAGGCTCTTGCCTTTGTATCTGGCAAACTTCAAATACCCCATAGCTTCTGTGGTCTGCCTTCTTTCCCTCTGTTAAAACACTAAAACCAGGCCGGCGCCGTGGCTCACTAGGCTAATCCTCCGCCTAGCGGCGCCGGCACACCAGGTTCTAGTCCCGGTCGGGGTGCTGAATTCTGTCCCGGTTGCCCCTCTTCCAGGCCAGCTCTCTGCTGTGGCCAGGGAGTGCAGTGGAGGATGGCCCAAGTACTTGGGCCCTGCACCCCATGGGAGACCAGGAGAAGTACCTGGCTCCTGCCATCAGATCAGCGCGGTGCGCTGGCCGTGCCGGCCGCCGCGGCCATTGGAGGGGGGAACCAACCGGCAAAAGAAGAGACCTTTTTTTTTTTTTTTTTTTCAAATGGTCCCCTTCTGCCTGTCAAAACAAAAAAACAAAAAAACCCCACTAAAACCAGATATCATTCACTGATACTTTTTGATTGATTATACTGCCTGCAGTTGTGTGTTACCTCTTGCATAATCCCCATGTTAAACCCCATGTTGGGGCCAGTGCTGTGGTATAGAAGGTTAAGCTGCTGCCTGCAGTGCCAGCATGCCATATGGGCACTGGTTTGAGCCCAGCTACTCTACTTCTTATTTATTTGAAAGTCAGAGTTACACAGAGAGATAAGGAGAGAAAAAGAGAGGTCTTTCATTTGCTGGTTAACTCCCCACATGGCTGTAACAGCCAGAGCTGGGCCGATCCAAAGCTAGGAGTCAGGAGCTTTTTCCAGGTTTCTCATGCTGGTGCAGGGGCCCAAGGACTTGGGCCATCTTCTACTGCTTTCCCAGGCCATAGCTGAGAGCTGGATCAGAAGTAGAGCAGCTGGGTCTCAAACCGGCACCAATATGGGATGCCGGCATTGCAGGTGGCGACTTATCCCGCTACGCCACAGCACCAGCCCCTACTCCACTTCTGATCCAGTTCTCTGCCTCTGCCTCTCAAAAAAAAAAAAAAAAAAAAAAACAACAACAACAAACAAAACAAAACAAAACAAAAAAAACACTATGTTGCAGGAAATCCACTGGCTATTACATGAATGGGGTAGCGTGTCAGATAGCAGAGGTTCTTGATGGCAGCCTTAAAGTAGATCATTGGTGGATGAGATGGGATTGGGGAGTAGGGTCAGAGGGAACCTGTCTTCCCCCTGCTGTCCTGCCTGAAGCTGAGACCTGCAGTAGAGGAATCTTCTGGGATTGCAGGAATCGGATCTGCAGTCCCAGTTTCTGCTCCTTCTTCAAGGTTTCCTCTGTTGTCTCTGCTTCCCTGCTGCAACAGATTCCTCTTAGTTTTTCTTTTATTATTACTGTTAATCTGACTCATTGCTTCTTGTCCTTGACCTCATCCCAAAACTGTCTGACACATAGTTTATATTTTCTTGTATGTTTGACTTTTAGTTAATATTTCATGGTAATTTCATTCTACAGCTATCTTTTTATCTAATACCCTGGAACTCATCCCTGTCCCTCACAATTCTGGTCTCTTGTAATTAACTTTTGTGAAAAAGAAGTATGACTTTCAGACATACTCTCTTATTAGTAAAGGAGTATTACTGAATGTGAAATTAATGCTGTGCATCTGTAACAAGTTGTTCCACCTTGTGAATACTAAAGCAATTTATAAAGAAACCTTTCTTTGTTAAAAAATTTCTCTACGTGGGCCACATATTTCCAGACCTATTTCATAGTAATTTGTGGTTTTTTAGGTATGTCAATAAAGATGCTGTGGCCAGCATGCCTGGATTCTGTCAGATAAACATTTTGTGAGATTGCTTACTTTTAAAAAATTGTCTTGGTTTCAAACTTAATTTCTTTCCTAATGTCTGAGTAAAGAAATTCTTAAGTATTTAATAGACCTGATAAATTATAGTTAAAACATTTTGTTTTGCTGTTTAAATGTGTTTTCAAAGCGTTGATATGTTAATGCTTGTTTCATCCACATACTTTGTTCTGAATTTTAAGAAATCTCTATCTAAATCAGTAACATGCTAACAGCATATTTTTGAGGATCATATGGATTTTCTTTATCAAAAACAGTTAAACGGAAATTTCAGTGTGCATGTGGGAATGTATTTGTCATCATTTATACTGTATGGGGAGAGTGACTCATGCACTGTTTGGAGTTTCTGATTGTATAAAGAGATTACAAACAATTTGCAGTGGAATTTAAGTAATGTGTATGTGAAAAAGAAGGGAAAGTATGTTGCTCCTTTGTTCTTTTCTAACTTTGATGAAATTTTTACCATTAAAAGTTTTTTTTGGTAGGGATGGGTATTGTGGCAGAGCAGGTTAATTAGCTTGGGATGCCCACAGCCCGTATCAGAGTGCCTGGGATAGAATCCGGCCTCCCCTTCTGATCCAGCTTCCTGCTAATGTACACCCTGGGAGGCAGCAGGTGATTAGCTCAAGAGCTTGAGTCCCTGCCACCCATGTGGGAGACTGAGATGGAGTTTCTGGCTCCTGACCAAGCCCTGACTCTTGCAAGGCGTTTGAAGAGTGAACCAATGGATGAAGGATCTCTGTCTCTCTCTCTGTCTCTCTCGCTGACTCTTCCTTTCATATAAATCAAAATAAATAAACTTAAAAAAATGGTGAAATATTGACTACTTAAAAAATGAAGTTCAAATTTATCCCCTTACAATTATTATTTTTTGTAAAGTGAAGTTGAGTTTCTGAGCACAGTGTGGTTCTGCTCATCTTGCTGAGGATTTCTTGTCTTATCACAGGAAATGTATGTTCCCAGAGGGGAAAATCCAGTTTGGTTTCAGGTTGACAAATAGCTTTTCAAGGACAGTATGTCAAGTATAAAAGGAATTTCACCATTTTAGTACTGTGAGATTGTTTGAAGGGGAAAAGATAAAATAATAGTTAACGTTGACATTATTGAATCCCTGTTGTTAGCTGCCCCTAGCATCTCCTGCTGCTCTCTTGGCAGTATTTTAGCGATGTGTTTCCTTTGACCTTTCCTTTAATAGGAAGCCTTAGGCCCTAGGATCTAGCAGAGAAAGTTGAGCCATTTGTGTCTGTTTTTGAGAAGTTCTTGGGGGAAAGCATATCTCGGAGAGAATTGATGCATGACTTTGGGCAATTAAAGCTCAGTTTATTATACAGTGTGACGGACAGCCCAGTGAGAACCTCACAGATATGTACTGTGAGTGTGTAGAAGTGAGACTCTAATGCATATTTTATACCCTGATACTGTTGAATGACTTATCTCCTGCCCCTAGGCCAGCCCCTTCTGCTCATCATTATCCACTTCTGTTTAGATCTCTGAAAATTATGCACTTACGAGCCCTCTCATTGCTTCACTATGAATGGAAAAGCTTTTCTGTTGAGTTGCTTAAGCTTTGTTGCCTGGGGCTTTTACCCACAAGCTGTTGAATGAGACTCAATATTTCTAGAAGTTTGTAAAAGGATAGAAGATCCCTTTTCTGTAACTTCCTTATGTATGTATTTTTTCTGTTACGGAAGCTTGGCATTCAGCACATATAGGTGAGAGAAAGAGACCCCATATTGACATGTCCTTTGTTCTGATCTGTATACTCAGTTAACATATTCTTGGTTGCCTTCTGCCTACCTTCAAATTCTGAACTCTTAGAAGACTTAGGTATTTTGATTGTCTGTGCATATATTTTGAAATCTCTGGATTGAAGCTTTTCTAGGTGTTGGCACTCTGCTCATCCCAGGACATCAGGATTATATAAAGATTAGTTTTATAAGTGACTATTAACCAAAAATCTTACTCTCAGGGGAGAAGATTCATGGAACTCCAAGAATGCATTGCCCTTTGCATAACAATTAATTTAGGCAATTAAAGATAGATGAGACTTATGTTGCCTTTAAGTTTTTCATTGTAATGAGACAAATATATTATTATAAAAGCTCTATTCATCAGTTAGAGTGTCTCTTAATTACAGGAGTAGTATATTTTTAAGTTTAATTATGGTACTTTGATGATATGATACTTGCAAGCTAAGGATACTTCAAGTTGTCAAGATTTTTGGTGCATCTAGAGCAGTGCTATCCAAAATAAAAATTTCTATGATGTTCAAAATGTTCTCCCTTTGCAGTGTCCAATGTGGTAGTCACTAACCACACATAGCTAGTGAGACTGAAAAACTTCATTTTAAACTTTCTTTAAATTGTAAACTGAAGTAAGGACTACGTTTTAATGCAGTGGGTTAAGCCACCACTTTGAACCCTATAAGGGAGTGCTTGTTGGCATCCTGAGTGCTTTGCTTCCGATGCATATTTTTACCTGCCAGTATGCCTAGGAAAGCAGTGGAAGATGGCCCAAGTACTTGGGACCCTATCATCCATGTAGGAGACCAGGATGGAGTTCCTGACTCCTAGCTTCTGCCTGGTACCACACTGGCTGTTGCCATTTGGTGAGTGAACCAGTGGATGTAAGATTTCCCTGTCTCTGCTGTTCAAACAAAAATAAATTTTAAAAAGTCATTAAAAATATAAATTTTAATAGTCACAAGTGGTTAGTGGTTACTAGTTTGGACAGCACAGATCTAGAATATGTAGAAAATCTACATTTAGTAGTATAAAAGCATCTCAAGTTTCTTGTTTTTGGTTGGGAAGGTGAATCTGGTTAAATCTGAAATTGATAGTGGCCAATAATGCTGTTTGATCTAAAGAGAAACTTCTTTAATACGATGCAAACTTAAATGTGTGGGGTGAATGTTGTGGCACAGCAAGATAAGCCACTGTGTGAGATGCCTGCATCCCCTATCGAAATACTTGGGAATCAAGCCCTGCCCCTGCTTCTGATCCAACTTCCTGCTAATGTGCCTGGGAAGCTTCTCTAAACTCCCCTATCCCGCTCTTCCCCATAGGTAAGTAGAAATTCTTGAAAACACTGAATTTTGTTCAATAACCAAGAGTATCTAATATAGAAAAATATTCCCTTAAATAGAAATATAGAGATTATTAGGCCAACCAGAGTTTTAAAGAGTCACAACAAAAAATTAAGCCCCCCCCCTTTTTTTAAGTTTTGTTTTCCCAGATTTTGCAGGACTCCACTTGAGCTCTGTGTTAAAAGTTAGAAATGTAGGGTCAAAGGAAACTAGGCTGTGTCTGCTCTGACTCTGCTGCCTGTTTACTTGCCCCTCAAGTGCTGTGTTCTTAGCTAATAAACCATGAATGTATAGCAGAGACATGAGTGTACGCAGCCATCTTTGACCCAGTAACACCTGGCATCTTCCACTGATCTGGGAATCAGAACTCATTTAGCACTGCTTCGGGTCAGGGAACTCGGAACCTAACTGCCCTGGTCCCTCTTTGTGGCAGTTGGGTAAGTCCTGAGGGCTTGATGTGTGAAGCATAGATAGGTGGGAACAGCGGCTTATGGCATATTTTACAAGGGAGATTGTGTAAGCTGGGGAATGATAGGTTATGACATGTCTTTCAAGGGAGATTGTGTAAGCTATGGGGAGCTAGATGCAGAGGAATTATTGAATCTGTCTCCTGGTGCAGATGTGGAGGGAGAAGGGCCAGCCATTCCCTCTTGACTCCTTGAGGTTGGGGACTGTCTCATATAGGCCGTGCGTGTCTTGGCAGATGGTCCTGTCAAACCTGGATCAGGTACCTAGTGTGCTAGAGTTTGTGCCAAGGTGGACTGTTAAATCTGATTCTAAGGAGAACAAGGCTGAGGTGGCAGTCTTTCTACAAGGCATTAGGACGCTCTTTTCGCGGCAACTGAGCCATGCATAAAGGTTGCTTACCTTTTCATGTAGTTGGTCTTTGGTCTCTTATCTTGAGCCACAGTGTCAGGTTGACAAGAGTGGACACAGGTAACCTGAAATGGGTTAGACTTCTGCTTCGTTAGGAAAGGGAACTGGGCAGTCCTCCCTGCAATGATGGCCACAGGTTGGCAGAGCACTGACTTACCAGCCCCTCTACTTGCTGGAGTCAGGATAGCTGTGTGGGTTGTGACGGTGTATCTCATATGCTTTACACACTGTAGTGTCAGACCCAGTGGAGTTTGCAACTAATGGGTTTCATATTAGAAGAGAATATTACTTGTTTGTAAGTAATCTTGAGTACAGATGGGAAATGCTGACTGAATTAGACTTTTCAAAGATTTGAAATGTCTGTATCACCAAAGAAGAATTGCTAATATAATGAAAAGACAAATAACAGACTAGGAGAAAGTAAGTCATGTATAGTATACAAAGGATAAACACAGAAAATGAGCATAGAGAATATTCTGCAAATTAATATGAAAATAATTAAGGAGAGAATGGGCAAATGATATAAAAAAGCATTTGGAAGAAAGGAAACATGACCAATAGATACATAAAAATGTATTTGGTATCATTAGTAATTAGGAAATTAGATATTAAAGCAATCAGATGTGCTTTTCTCCCATCAGGTTCATAGACATTACAGAGAATAATATTATCTGTTAACAACAGTGAGGAACAAAATAGGTGTATTTTCATATAGTGAGTGTATAAACTGTTAAGATCTTTTTGGAGAAGACAATTTGGCAGCCTCTATGAAAATAAAAACACATACCTGTGATTGAGTAATTTCATGTTAAGGAAGACATGGACTGCATTCCAGCATTGTTATTAAGGGTGAAACCTTGGGATGATTAAGTGCAAGTGATATGACCAAAACACAGAATTTTCTGCAGTTCCTAAAAAAGAGAGTGGTATGTAGCTAAAGTAGGAAGCTTTCTCAGGTATCTTTTTAGTGGGGAAAAAAAAAAAAGCTACAAAATTATCACATTCATGTTAAACTCAAAACTAGATTTTTATTTATTTATTTATTTATTTATTTATTTATTTTGTGACAGGCAGAGTGGACAGTGAGAGAGAGAGACAGAGAGAAAGGTCTTCCTTTGCCATTGGTTCACCCTCCAATGGCCGCGGCAGCCGCTGATCTGAAGGCAGGAGCCAGGTGCTTCTCCTGGTCTCCCATGGGGTGCAGGGCCCAAGCACTTGGGCCATCCTCCACTGCACTCCCGGGGCCATAGCAGAGAGCTGGTCTGGAAGAGGGGCAACCGGGACAGAATCCGGCGCCCCGACCGGGACTAGAACCCGGTGTGCCGGCGCCGCTAGGCGGAGGATTAACCTGTTGAGCCGTGGCGCCGGCCTAAAAATTTTTTAAAGGTTTATTTGTTTACTTATTTGAAAGTCAGAATTACAGAGAAAGAGGTAGTGACAGAGACAGAGAGATATTTTCCATCCTCTGGTTCACTCCCCAAATGGCCACATCAGCCAGGACTGAGCAAGGGTTAGCAAGGAGCCAGGAGCTTCTTCTGTGTCTCTCTTGTGGGTGCAGGGACCCAAGCACTTGGGTCAACTTCTACTGCTTTCCCAGGCGCATTAGCAGGAAGCTGAATTAGAAATGCAGCAGCCCAAATGGGATGCTAGCACTGCAGATGGTAGCTTAACTTACTATGCCCCAGCACTGGCCTCAATTTATTTACAATTTTATTTATTGATTTTCATTTTATTTGAAAGGTCAAGAGACAGTGACAAATGCAGAGATATTCTGTCTGCAGGTTCACAGCCCAAATGCCTGCAATAGCCAGGGCTGGGTTAGGTCAAAGCCAGGAGTTGAAACTTAATGTGAATCTCCCTTGTGGGTGGCAGGGACCCAACTTCTTGAGGCATCACATGCTGCCTCCCAGGATTCACAGCAGGAGGCTAGGTCCAAGTTGAAGCCAGGACTCAGTTCAGCCACTGTGATATGGGATGTAGGCAGCCCAAGCAAAATGTTTTTAATTTTCTTATTGAAAGATTTTAATTTAAATGAAAGGTAGAGTGGGAGAAGGTAGAATAATTACGGGGAGAGAGAGAGAATCTTCCATCTGTTCCCAAATGGCCTCTATGACTGGGCTCCATTCAGACCTCCTATGTGGGTGACAGAGGCCCAAATACTTAGGCCATCTTCTGCTGTCCTCCCTGGCACATTAGCATGGAGCTGGATTGGAACTGGAACATTAAGGAGCCAAACTGGCTTAACCTGCCGTGCTGCTACTTGGGCCTCCCAAGGGGTTTGTTAACCACTGTGGCCAACACAGCCCCCCCCCCCCCCCAACCCTAGATTTATTTCCGCATGCATTGTATTTTATAGATCCTTAATATATTGTACATATGAAGTCTATCTATAAAATAAGTTAATTTACATTGTACATATTAAGTCTGTAAAATAAGTTCATTTATATTCTATATGTATTTTATAGTTTCTAAAACATGCTTTTCAGATTTGGACATTTTTGAATTTAGTGTATTTAACAATTGGTGGCACATTTTAATAGTTTTAATAATTCTTGGTGAAGCAGTGACATTCTGAGTGATAAGATCTTAGATTTGATGGAAGATGAGGGGCAAATGCATTGATTAACACTCTAAGTAAGAAATAGAATGAGATTGAGGAGGTGTCTGTATCTGTATCATCTATTATTTGAACTCTTTACAGTGAGAATGTATTCAGTTATTGTGTGATGAAAATTTTAAAAGATATATTTTTGTGATAGAGAAGACAGGGTGGTCTGGGTGCCTGTGTGATCTGAGCCGTTTCTTCACATCGCTCTTAGGCTGATACTCAGCTGTGTCTGAGAACTTGAAGGCCTGGATGGCTGAGAGATTGTTCAGCTCCATTAAGAAGTTAAGTAGCTGTGAAGATTCAGTGGGAGAGAATTGAGGGCTGAGGGCCAACACAAGGGAGGTGCAGAACGCCAGAACCTAGGGCCAACTGCTCTGTTGCAACTGCTGCCTTTGTGTGGAGAGGTTGAAATTCTCCTACGGCAGTTACCCGTCCCAGACTGGGAGTTCCTCTGGGGCTAGCCCAGTCCATGGTGTGCTATCCACTGTTTCCATAAAGAAATCATATAGTGAGGTGGAAAATAGGTCAGACCAAGGGGCATTCCCATTGCCACTGAAAGGAAACACATTGGGTAAAGAATGAAGCTTTACTGGAAAAAAACCAAAGGAGTAAATGGGCTTTTAAATATGAGGAGCTTAACAAAGCAGACAGGAGGTGATGTGTCATAGGTTGGAAACAGGCTCTTTGTATTTGTAAGAGGCCTGTCCACGGGATCCTTAAATCCTTGAATTAACAGGGCACAGTGTGGGTGTCTCCCCATTAGGAATAGCTGCATTGTGAAGAGAACACAGAGTTATGACTATTAAATGAAGGGACAGAGAACTTATTGCAGAAGGGCAGAGGTAGAAGAGGAGGTGGTACCCCGGGAAATCAGGGGAAGCTTCTTGGCCAAGGTGTCAGCTTGTGGTGATGGATGGAGAAAGGCAGAATTTGGAGATGGATTTTTTTTTAAGCTTTGTTTTATTTATTTGAGAGCCAGAGTTACAGGAGAGAAGAAACAGAAAGAGAGGTCTTCTATCTGCTAGTTCACTCCCCAAATGGCCACAACAGCTGGGGCTAGGCCAGGCTCAAACCAGAAACCAGGTATTTTCTCTGGGTCTCCCACGTGGGTACAGGGGCCCAAGGACTTGGGCCATCCTCTTCTGCTTTCCTAGGTGATTAGCAGTGAACTTAATTGGAAGTGGAGCAGCAGAGTCTTGAGCTGGCCTGGGGTGGTGGTACAGGCTGTGGCTTTTAACTTGCTGAGCCATAGTGCTGGGCCCTGAACATAGGATTTTTAAGCGGGGATTTAGAATGAAAGAATGACAGGCTCACCACTACACAAAGGAGAACACGAGAACTGTGAGGGATACAGGTTTTTGGTGTGTGTGTTTTAATATTTCTTTGTTTATTTGAAAGACAGTTACAGAGGCAGAGAGAGAGAGAGGTGTCTTCCATCTGCTGGTTCATTCCCATGATGGCAGCAGTGGCTGGAGCTGGGCCAATCCAAAGCCAGGAGACTGGAGCTTATTCCAGGTCTCCTATGTGGGTACAGGGACCCAAGGACTTGGATCATCTTCTATTGCTTTCCCAGGCCATGGCAGAGAGCTGGATCGGAAGTGGAGCAGCCAGGACATGAACTGGCACCTATATGGGATGCTGGCACTGCAGGTGGTGGCTTTACCCACTCTGCCACAGCACCAGCCCCTGTTTTGTTTTTTAGAGAACAGTTTATGAAAGGAAAGAATGAGAAGTAGGATTTGAAAAGGTAAATTAGGGCTAGGATGTTAAGAGCTGAGCTTGACCTTGATTCATTAGGCTCATGCTTCACATATTTTTTTTCTTTTACCATTGTTGGAATCTTTTTGTTTTTTTTAAACCAATCACTTCAAGTTTATTTTCTAAAAATTTTATAATATATATTCAAATATGTATTAAAAGTATAAAGAGCACATTTGTGGTTTTTTTTTGCAC